GGGAGGAGGAGGAGGAGAAAAAAAGAGAAGAGAAGAGAGAGAGACTTTGTTTCCTGTCATGGGGGAGGGGGCTGGCCCAACTGATAGCTTGTCTCTCCTGGAGCAAAGTGACTTGCCCAAAGCATGCAATCTCACCAGAAAAACCCAAGATGATAAAATGAAAAATTGACTTTTCAAGATACAATTTAAGGAACAGAACCTAGAGGTATTAAAATACTCAGAAATGTTTTAAGAAATTATTGCTGGGGCTGGAGAGATGGCTCAGCGGTTAAGAGCCCTGGCTGCTTTTACAAAGAATTCAAGTTCGATTCCCAGCACACACATGAAGGCTAGCAACAGTCTGGAACTCCAGTTCCAGGGGATCTGACACCCTCTTGTTACCTCCGCAGGCATTGTATGACATGGGGTGCACTTACAAACGTGCAGGCAATATATTTACACACAAAATAAAAATAATAAATAAAATATATAAAAAAGAAACTTGCTTTCATAAAATTAATGTCCATTTTTTAAAAAATGCAAAAGACTGCAGGATGTATTTAAAAAGAGGGGTGGGGGGCTGGGCATGGTGCTTTAATTCCAGCACTCAGGAAGCAGAGGTAGGCAGATCTTTGAGTTCAAGGCCAATCTCATCTACATAGTGAGTTCCAGACCACCTGGGCCTTCAGGGAGATCCTGTTTCAAAAACAAAATAAGACAACAACAATAGCAAAATAAACCTTTAAAAATGGATGGAGGGGCTGGAGAGATGGCTCAGTGGTTAAGAGCACTGACTGCTCTTGCAGAGGACCCGGGTTTGATTCCCAGCACCCATATGGCTACGAACTGTCCTTAACTCCAGTTCCAAGGGAATCCGAAGCCCTCTTCTGACCTCTGTGGGACTGCATGACTTGGGTACAACACATACATACAGACAGTACACTCATACACATAAAATAAAAAATTTTTAAAAATGGATGGAAAGGTAACTAAAACCTTAAAGATAAATTGAACAAGAATTGTTCCAGATTGGAAGGCAAGTCCTCCAAATTAAAATAGTGAATTAGAATTGTAGCTAAATAAAGTGAATTTAAAGTAGTAAATAGAGTAAGGAAGAAGTTGGAGGAGATTCACAACAGGATGATATACAGAGAAAACTTTTCATTCTTCATTTGCCCACCTTCACCTGACGAAGAAGCATGCTTACAGAAAGTACCTCAGGTATGACATGATTTTGAACAGTTGCTGGAAGTATGAGAAAAGGAATTCTCCATTGTCGTGTTTGTCAAGACTAGAAGGAATAGTTGGGAAAAATCTAATCATAGCATAAAACTTCGCTTTTCTGTGAATAGTATGTAAATGCTATTCATACTAATGTAAATATTAGTTTTCAGCTTTTAGAGTCAATCCTTAGGCAAAGCAGGGAAGAATTAATTATGATTATAGAATAGAATGGCAATGTTACCAACCTTGACAGTGTATTAGTATTAGTACAGTTAAGAGTTTGGAAGGTAGAAGGGAGAGGAAATGTAGATAGAATAGAGATGGTACTATTGTCCTCATAAATTAGAATGTAGAGAGTTCTGTCTACTGAGTGAGTACAAAGAAAGAAAAGTAGTACAATGACCAGGCTGAGGGGTGAGGAGTTCAGAGACCGCAGCAAGTCAACAGAGAGTACCTCTGATTGTAAGTCACAGTGTAGTTAAAAAGAAATTGAACTGGTGTGATAGAACACATCTTTATTCCCGGCACTGGGAAGGCAGAGGCAGGTGGATCCCTGTGAGTTTGAGGCCAGCCTGGTCTGTATAGTGAGTTCCAGGCCAGCCAGGGCTACATAGTGGGGGAGGAGGGTCTAAATTTGATTAAGAACTGTTGTATGAAATGTACAAAGGCTTAATAAAAAAAAAAAAATTAAAAACAAAACAAAAACAAAGCAAACACAGACAAAAACATATTGAGAAAAATGGAGATATAACTGCCAGAATATCTTAATTTTTGTCTCTGGATTGGTAAACTGAAAAATGAGAAGATAGGTAAGAATTTTTTGATTATCATTATGTTGTGCGTTTTTTTTTTTTTTTTGCTTGATTTTTAAAAAAATTCCATGCATACATTGCTTTGTTAAATGTACATTTTAATAAAAGAAACAAGAGCTGAGGTCTGGTGGTACTGCCTGTAGTTCACCTACTTGAGACTGAGAGGAGGAAGATCACAAGTATGAGGCTGTCTGAGCAGCAGCATATTGAAGCCCTCATCTAAAGAGAAAAAAGCATACATACTCTAATCTTAGGCACTTTGAAGTAGAATATACAATGGGGAAAAAAGATATCATTCATAGAAGATGTAAAATACCCAGGGATAAATAATGAAAAAATATACATTTTGGAAAAAACTGAATTTTTTGTACAGTTTGAGAAAATGTTTCTCAAATTTTAATATAGACAAAATTTCAAGAATAGCTTAACTAGTATCAAGAAGGAACAAGATAGAGAGATTTGCATTACTGGATAGCAAGGTACATTCTAAAGCTGCCAATTTACAATAAAGGTGATATTGGTACAAGCTAATTATGCAGATTATTTGAACCAACTTGGTAGTACATAAAGAGATCAATATCTATATGATAATTGGTTTTGATTAAAGATGGCATTTCAAGTCAGTGGCAAGAGAAGTGATCTTTTCACTTGGAAAACATATGGCTAGATTTTCTACCTCACATTCACAAAATTAAAATCTAAATTGATGAAAAGCTAAGTATTTATTCATTTATTTATTCTTTTATTTATTTATTTATAGTTGTTTTGAGACAAGGTCTCTCTGTGGCTCCAGCTGGTCTGGAACTCACTATAGACCAGGCTGAGATTCACCTGCTTCTGCATCCTGAATGCTGGGATTAAAGGTGTGTACTACCATGCCTAGCTAAACACTAAGTATTTTTAAAAAAGTAAAAGTGTGAGACCGGGATGGCTCAGTGGTTAAGAACACTAGTTGTTCTTGCAGAGGACCCAGGCTTGAATCCCAGCACCCACATGGCAGCTAACAACTGTCTGTAACTCCAGTCCCAGGGCATTGCACGACATGGGTGCACTTACCTACATGCAGGCAATACACGCATACACATAAAATAAAAATAATAAATAAAATTTTTAAAAAGTTAAAAAAAGTGTGAGACCTACAAATAAGTACAATATAACAGTCATAAAGAAAAGATATCTTGATTGCATTAAAATAAAATGCTTTTATATTAGATAAACCATACACAAAAATCAAATAATTTGGGGCTAGAGAGATGGCTCAGTGGTAAGAGCACTGATTATTCTTGCAAAGGACCAGGTTTGATCCCCGGCACCCACATGACAGCTGACAACCATTCTTAACTCTAGTTCCAGAAGATCTGACACCCTCTCCTGACCTCCATGGATATTGCATGCACATGATACACTTACATGTATGCAGGTAAAACATTCATACACATAAATTAAATAGTTTCAAAAATAAAATAATTTTCAGATTTGGAGGAAACATTTATAGAATATATAACAAGAATTATAATTATATTCTGAGAATTTTATACATCAGTGTTCGGCTATAACTCTGTCAATAAAATGCTTGCTATGCAAGCATGAGACTCTGAGTTCAATTCTTAGAACCCAAGTTATTAAAAAAAAAAAAAAGCCAGTTGTCGTGGTGTGTGTTTGTGTTCTCAATACCACAGAGGCAGGGACGGGCAGATCCCTGGGGCTCGATGGCCAGCCAGCCTGTAGAGTTCTAGGCCAGTGAGAGATCTTGTCTCCAAAAGAGGATGGATGTCATCCTGAGGATTGACATCTGAGGTTAACATATATCCCTCCCATCCCCATCCCCATACACCTATACATATACCCCCAACCCACAGAG